TATCTTCTAAACCTTTCCAGTGTTTTTCTAAAGAATTTCTTTAAAAAAAAAAAGAATTTTATTTAAAAAGGTTTTGAACTTTAAAACGTATAATGATGATGCTAACTTATAATTCAATTGAAATTGTATGTCACAATAATTTATGTAGTATATTATTAATATATACTATAATAATATGGCAAGTATAAAAGGTCTCAAAGTCCCGGCGGGTCTTTCTACATCAGAAAAATTTGATTTTATTTTTTGGATTTTTTTTTATCTAAATGTGGTTTTTAATGGAGTGTTGGATAAGTACACTTGTTTTTTTCGTGTTTTTTTTTAATGGAGATTTTCATCCCAGATGTGTAACCTCAGTTTCAACAAAGTCAGGACACTGTGTAAAATGTACATTTGAAAATAAAGAATGCAGTGATTTTCACATCTTATAAACCCAAGTTTTATTCACAATAAAATGCAGAAAATATATCAAGTACTTAAACTAAGGTGTTTATCATTTAATGAAAAATACTAGCTCATTTTGAATTTTATACCAGCACATCTCCAAAAAGTTGGGAAGGGGGGAAACAAAAGGCTGACAAGCTGAGTAGCTAGAATCCGATATCAGACAAGAATGGGACAATATTCCTCTCCCAAAGGTCCAACAGCGGGTCTCCTAAGTTACCAAATCTTTATGGACTGTTGTTTAAAGAAGATCAGCTGAGAGTTCTTGATTATATTAGAAGATCTCTGCTCATACTGAGAAACTGAGACTGCAAGCTCATGTGTTGAGACTTGTCAATCACGGGGTAGCCACTCCTCTTAAGAATACCATATGTTTGTCCCTACAGTATCCAACGTGGTTAACTACAAATATTAAATATTTATTTAATGCAATAAAAGCATGATCCAATTTTGAAACTGATTACTGAGGTTATAGTATAACTGAGCAGAAAGGTCATTTTCCCAAAGATTTTTGTACAATTTGATTTCATTGTGCAACCAAAGTATCCCCCTGCTGGCCATTGTAAGGAATGCATATTTAAGACACTGCATTAGGCTTGACATTTAAGAGACACAGAGCCCACTCAGTCGTTTTTATCCACTTAAATGGTGTGCATGACTGATTTTACCTCCAGTGGGCCAAGTTTTCATGGTATAAAGTCACGGTCCAACTAATCCTGCAGACTCCAGTGTTTGTTTTGTCATCTCACAGATTATGTGACCTTATACAGCAAATAGGAAAACTTTGTCTTTATCCACTGACTGTGACATATACTTTTGCTGATGCTAGCACACCTGCAAATTATTATTAAAACTGGAAAATAATAATGAAAATATCTGCTCGTCTGCCACTTTTTTGGCCTGGTCATTTCAGTCACATGACAGCGACTCAGTTCATTTAGACATGGTGAAGACTACCTGCTGAAGTTCAAACTAAGCATCATTTAAATGCCACAGTCTACCCGAGTATTGTTGCTTACCATCCTTATCTTACACCGTCGTACTTGCTGTTGTTGTCCATGTCACAAAGCTCAGATCCTCTCAAAATGGCACCTTGAACATGGAAAACAAGTTCACTGTAACTCAAATGGCATGTGGAGTCACCAGAGTTCAGCCAAATTGAGCATCTTTGGTATGTGGTTGAACAGGATATTCACATCATGTGCAGCTGTGTGATGCTATCTAAAATGCCCTTTGTGGCATTAGAACAAAGGACATTTAACAATTTAGCATTTAGCATTAAAGCAATTCTGAAGGCAAAGGGGGTCAAACCGGTACTAGGTACTGTGTACTTAATAAAATGCCCCGTGGGTGTATAAATTTAACGAAAAAAATTACACTGCTTCGTTTTGACCACTGGTGGCGCTGTGGAGCAAAGGTTTGATGAGCGGGTCCACGTTCATGAGAAGGGCACACTGTGGCCAAGTGGACCAGTAGATGCTGGCTTTCTCACTGAACTACAGGTAAAGACCAGGTACGTGTGGATGCAAACATGCCTCCATATATTAAATATATATATATTGTAATTAGACCTCATGAAAATGTACCCAGAAAATGGAAATAGGAACATTTCTTTAAAAACAAACAGACAACAAAAACGTGCTAATTAAAGTAAGCTGCATGCTCGGTTTTCACATTGTCAGCATCTTTCTTTGTCTTAATTCAGGGTCTCTTTGATTTTAAAGTGAGAAAAGCAGTAAATCCTCATCTTTGACAGACTGGAGGCAGAAAACACTCATCATTTGATTTTCCTTTCAACAGTCTGATCTAATAACTGAACAAAGTGAAAGTATGGTAAAAGGTATAAAGCTTCTGCACTTAAATTCCAGCATGATATCTCTCACGCTATATAGCCTTGAAACATAAACAGAGGGGGTGAGTGTGAGCAGCTGTCTCCATGTAAGGATATGTAGCACTGGGAGCTGATGTGTTTGTAAAGCTGCCATTAGAGAGAATCTGCTGTGACTCTGACATTGAATCCGTCTCATCAGGTGGATAAATGGCTTATTTCAGCCTTTTCTATTTATTCGAAACCTCTTAAGTCTCCAGACCTGTCCTGGAGACCTTGCTGATCTCTAGCTGTCAGCAAACAATCATCTGAACATCTCTCTCTCTCCAGTGACGCCTGCGTCTCTAGCGCTCGTTCGCAAACGACCCAGAGCTGCCCCTCCATCCCCCCTCTGATGTTTTCTTTTTGGGAACAGTCCCGCTGAGACGGGCGTGTCAGGTTTACCATCTGTAGAAATTGCTTGAATATCTTGTAGGTCTCTAATCGCAGCTTGGAGTTTACTTTCTCTTTTCCGTCGCCTCGGTAAGCAGCCTACATTTTATTTTAAATTTACCGGAGATTTAAAAGGTTGTACTGCACGCTATACTGACTGATAGACCGCATAAATTAATCTTCTGGTTACCTATTTTTCCCCCCTACAGTTAATGTGAATTTCAGAATATATTTAGATTCTCTGTGGTGTAAAACAAAAACTTTTTTTTGACTTCTTTCAGAAAAGAAAAAGGTGTTTCATCTCTGTAGTACTCCACTTAACATGACAGCATAAATTAATTTTCAATAAATGCTTATATATATTATATTGCATGTTTATTTTGAAAAGAAAAGAAAAGAAACTGCATAAAACATGAAATTACGTTTTAAAGGTTATAATTGGCCTGTGTCTGAAATCAGTCTTCACATGTATTTCTTAACTTCTAAATGTGTATAAAGTAGCTAGATTTTTATTTTTGTGTGCTTGTGTGTGGCTTTTCTGCCATTGTGTGCCTCAAGCTATGTTTGAGGCAGACAATGTGTTTAAATAAAGGATTTAACAATACAATTAACCATTGGCACAGGACACTTTGTTAGGTATAATCTGTATAATGTATAATCTAATAAAATTAAACGGGACTGCTCTACCAGAGAGTCGCGTTTCTGATTTACTTTTTATTTGTTTTATTTTTTTGATCATGTTGACATTGAAATGTTAATAAAGCAAGTGGAGCATTCAGAATGCATTGGGCAGCTTTCAGTGCAAGTGTAGTGTGGCACAGAGAAGAGAGGTGACTTTGAGCATGGCATGGTTGTTGTTGACAGGATCTGAGTGTTTAAAAAACTGTTGACTGGAATTTTCCTGCACAAAATTAGATGATAGAAGATTGGAAAAAACATTGCCTGATCTGATGAGTTTATTCCTGCTGCAGCATTTGGATGTGATGCTATCAGTTAAATATGGAGCAAAATCTTGTGAGGATTGTTTTTACCACCTTGTTGAATCCATGTCGTGAAGAACTAAGTCAGTCCTGAAGGTAAAAGAGGGCCTAACTCAGTACATGCAAGCTGTATGAAGTAGCGTGTAAATACAGTATGATTTTAATAGAATAAAACTGTTCAGTATGCCCTCTGGGATGTGATAGAGCGGAAGCATTAAACCAAATGAGTTACATTCCATCTCTGTGCAACATCAACATCAGCATCCCCGCCCACAGGTTTGATTTTTATCTTGTTGTTTTTTTGTATTTGAAATTCCTGACATGAAATAGTCTGGAAGCCCCTCCTGCAGACTGAAGTTGCACTAACCAGCAGTTTTAAGCTGAGTTTTATTCATTTGTCATTTCTGATGTTGGTTTATGCTGTTGGAATTTTCCACTTCCAGAAAAAAAATTGTAAATTATCACCAGCAATAACACACCACCATGTTGTCAGCTCTTATCAAACAGTAACTCTCGTGGGACGGTAGTTCCACAGAATCTTTCCTGCTCCTTCTGATTTCAGTTTAATTAAACAGGTGGGATGAAACATGCAGTTTCAAACATTCTTCTGTCTTCTGTTTCCACACAGTGTGGTTGTTCACTGACATGACTTAAAACAACATTAAACATTCCTAAGCGCTGTGTAGACGCCTTCTGTGAACACTCACATGTTTGACAGCTATTTCCTGCACAATGTTACAGCTTTACAGTCAAAAATAATCTCTGAAGAACAGTTTTATTCATCCCTGCTTGTCTTGTTTTGGGTTTTTCTTTTTTGCTTCTTTTCTCTTTTTTTTTTTTGCAGAAAAAAATGGCAATGCTTTCAGGGTTTGCCTTTGTATTGCTGGTCCAAACTGTAAACCTTCAACTTACACCTCGAGGACCCAGGCCAATACCGGGGCGAGGTGACAGTCCAGAGCCAACGGTACCTCCACTCTTACCTGAGCCCACGCCAAGACCTGAAGGCTGTGAAGGTGAAGGTTCCCTTAATTTCTTTCTGGGTTAAAATAAAGGTAATTTTTTTTGTTTTTCGACTTTAATTGATTCAGCTGTGAAAGTATTTGGATCCTCTGTATACCAAAGTAATCTAGAGTCAAATGTGAGGATACCTGTGTGACAGCATGCAGCTAAAGCTCAGCTAAATTTAGGTCAGAAGCACAGCAGCAAATTTGCAATAGAACGGCTGAGAAAACCAAAGAATGGAGCTGTTGCAATGGTACAGTTAATGTCTAGGCCTTAATCTGATTGAAATGCTCTGGTAGAAACAAGCTGTGCAGAAGGAAATGCCTGCAAACCTCAGTAAATGCAATGCTGTAAAGATAAGTGGCCAACTTTTGTCAACGATGATGTGAGAGACTGATAAAATCATTCCAAAAATGATTACTTCAAGCTATTGCTACTTAAGGTGGTTCTAATAAGGTGGTTATATTAAGATGGTTCTATAACCTGAAGCAAAGGCTCCAGCTCCTATGTGCTCTTTAATTTCTACGCGATTTAGCGAACATGTGTTTTCCTCTGCAAGACTGCACAATCTTAAACAATCTTGGTTTGCTGTGCTCAGCTAAAAAACACAAACAAACGAAAAAACTAAGCCAGATGATTGACCAGTTATTTCCCCTCATGTCCCTTTTCAAAAAATAGCTTCAGTCATTTTTGCACAGTGACCACGATTTACAATTATAGACTTAAAAAAGAAAAACACGACGTCCGATCAGCAAAATTTGAATCTGAGAGGCCTGTGCTATCAATTTAGCATGTAGTAGTAGTAGTTAGATCTCTGCAGCACAACACATAAATGTCTTATAGTCCTCACATTTTTCATCATTTTCATTCTATCTGTGTAACCTGGCAAAATCAACCAGCCCAGGACACAAACTACACAGATTAACCAGCATTTTGCTGTTTTTTATTATGATGTTTCAAGTATTAAATAATTAGGATGAAAGTGATGCATTTCAGCATCTAAATACAATTTAATTATTTTTCTAATTAAAAGTAACAGCTGTCTTCTCCTCCAGCAGGTATAATCGACTGTCCCATCAGGGTGTACTTCACTATTGACACCTCAGAAACCATCGCATTGCAGGAGCCCCCACCTGGCAGCCTGGTGGAGAGTATCAGAGAATTCACAAAGATCTTTGCCGAGAGGCTGGCTGATGAGGAGTACAGGGGCCATATCCAGATCACTTGGTCCATAGGTGGGCTGCACTTCTCCCAGAAGCAGGTGGTCTTCAGCCAGCTCACAACCAGAGAGAACTTCATCAGGAATCTCGCTTCGATCCGATACCTGGGCAAAGGCACCTACATCGACTGTGCCCTCAAAAACATGACTCACCACATGACCCAACATTACACAGAGACGAAGGCGGTTCTCTTCGCTGTGGTCATCACTGATGGCTACGTGACAGGAAATCCATGTTCAGGGATCAAGGTGATGGCAGAAAAGGCCCGGGATCAAGGGATCCAGATTTTCTCAGTAGCAGCGTCCAAAGAGATCGACGAATTTGGAATGAGGGAGATAGCGAACTCTCCGTACGAGCTGTTCCGTGACGACTACATAGCGGTGGAAATCGTTGATGGGAAACCAAGACTAAGCACTAAAACCATTGATCGTATCGTAAAAGCAATGGTGAGCTGACATCTTTTAGCCTTAAAAAGTTGTGTCAGGTGACTCTCACTGACTGCTGTCTTTTTTCTTTTTTTTTTTGCAGAAATACCAAGCATATTTACAGGTAAGAAGGTTACTCATTATGTTAAGTTCCACATAATGAGTGTATGTGCAAGTAATCCCTATTAGCCACAAGCTCAGGATCCAACCCTGTCAGTTTCACACATTTTTTGTACTATTGGCTGTTTGTGAGGTCAAACAGAGGATATGTTCCAAATATAATCATGTCAAGCACAGAAGCCCCGCCCACTTGCCTTTCAAATACTCTGTTTACCAAAGACAACCAATCAGAACAAACTGCCACAAAGGGCAGGGGAAAGGAGCTAAAAAGGCTTGTTTCAGTCACTCATGCAAAGCTGCTATAAGTCCAAGACTGAAACTATGAAGTTGGAAATTAGCAGAATAGCTTCCTTTAAACAATTCTGGTATTTAAAAGGCTTCAGTCTTTTAATATTGTTTTGTTTTTCTCTTCCATCTCACAGTGTTACAAACCAAGATGTTTCGAGAGTCCTGGGCGCCCTGGACTAAGAGGTCCCTCAGGTCCAAAAGTGAGACTTAAAAAGCTGAATTAAAGTCAGTAATTTTTATTATTGCTCGTGCCGATGATTCATCTTGAAATGTGTATGTCTCTGGATCTTTATAGGGCACAAAAGGAGACAGAGGCCCTCCAGGGCCAAAGGGTGAAAGAGGAAGACAGGTACCTAGACTTTACGTCTAGAAACCGAAATATATTTTAAAAAGTGCATTGTTATTTACTGAGTTATATATTTGTTACATTTCAGGGTGATCCTGGCATTGAAGGTCCAATTGGACGACCCGGTCCAAAGGTTTGCTGAGCCCAACTCGTTGATGATTTTATTTCATTAAAATTAATTAAATTATTTAACCGATTTAATTAAAATTACACAATGTATTTTTAATCTCATTAATGTGTCCTTTTGTGCTTTTCCGTAGGGAGAGGCTGGTTTAAAGGGTGAAAAGGTAAGAGTTAAAATCCTTATATTTCTCATTTCTGTTCATTTATTAAACTGAAGGAAGTGTTTTGGGGGACTAATGGGTCTGTTTTATCTCAACAGGGTGAAATTGGATTAACTGGAGCAAAGGTAAAAAAAGTTTAATGCTTCATCTTCGTGCACTGCAACATCCAAAATTAAGACCGTTTATGCACTGAAGTTCATTTTATCTCTTCGCTAAAGGGTGTTGCAGGTTCGACTGGCAAGAATGGAACTGATGGGCAAAAGGTGAGTGTTTACGGTGAGATTTTTACCGTAATGGTAATCTGATTATAAATATACTAATATTATATGAATGCTCCTTTGAAATCTTCAGGGGAAAATTGGACGAATTGGAGCTCCCGGTTGTAAAGGTGATGCAGGCGACAAGGTAAGTCGAGCATTTAATATTTATTTGTATGTCTTTGTTTCATTTTAACAACTTATATCAGCCATACAGCTGCATGTATTTCACTGATTCTCTTTAACATTGACTTTTTCTAGTATTGTAAGCATTTCTGGTTAAATGAACCACTGAGACACTTTTTTTTTGTCTCTAATAGGGATCAGATGGCTACCCAGGAGATGCTGGTGAAACTGGACTATTAGGTGACAAAGGAGAAAAGGTCTGAATTAAATCACAATAATCTAATCATTTCGGTTCATACTGAAAGAGACAGAGTGTTATTTAGAGTGAACAAAAAAATATATTCACACAATTGCATTTTGGTATGTGGTCAGTTGGTAATTTCAGTCTAGAGTGAAGTATTCACAGTAATTAGATGGATTCTAGTGAAGTTATTTCTGTACTGTAGTGGTTGTCACATTCACCTGATAATAACAAGCCCAACCTTGGGGGGTCGCATGCCAGTGTAGTCGCAGTCCTGGATTCATGGGCGAGCTGCATCAAGAAGGGCATCCGGTGTAAAAGCAAATATCCAGGTGATGCAGCGACTTCTTGGCAAAAAAAGGCAGCAGCTAAAAATACCTGCCGACTTACATGTGTTTTGGTGAAACAATCACAAGTTTCAGAGGGCATACCTAATTTATTCATTTAATTTCATCCATCCATTCGCTTCCTCTTATCCTTTTCAGAAAAGTGGCCTTGTAGTAAAGGTTGACCCTCACAAAGACCAAACGAAAATACATATTAAACCTTGTCTATCTTAAATACTAGTAGTTGGTTCACTTGACAGAACTTACTGTTTTAACCCGACATGCCAGCTTGTGCAGGCATTTGGTGTTTAATCCTAGCAGATCACAATTGAACTTAGCTGAATTGAATTGAACTCAGGACCTTCTTGCTATGCGCCAAAAGTGCTAACCACCATGCCACCTGTGGCACGGCCATTTAATTTCAACAAGTCAACTATATGAAAGGAAAGTACTGTAACAAGAAAATAGCGTGAAGTTGTCAGTATGCTTCTTAAAGGTGGCACACCAGAGCCTTAAAGAACCATTTCTAATATTTCTTTAGCTTTAACAGGTATCAGAACAGCTAAACGATGTGATTTGCTAGGACTGAACACCAAATGCCTGCACAAGCTGGCCTGTCGGGTTAAAACAGTAAGTTCTGTCAAGTGAACCAAGTACTATTATTTTAGTTGGACAAGGTTTAATCTGGATTTTCTTTTGGTCTGTGTGAGGGTCAATCTTTACTTCAAGACCACCTTTCTGCCTATGTGGTGCTGGTGCTACAGCAAGACATTCATAGATGATTCACAGATACCGTGATTCATAACATTATGGACTGTTTATTAAACAGTCAAAATGTGCTCTGATTGCCAAAAGGTACAAGCACCAAGAAAGGTCAGAGAAAAATATTTAAAGACCAGCTGTTTGGAGATCTCTAAATCACCACCCGTCTCCTTTATCTTCTGCAGGTCTGGACTGTAGTCAGATAGTCCTCCTTTTAATAACTGCTTTACCTTGAGGTTGACAAAAGTTTTGTGAGGTGAAGGAAAGAGAGAGTCTCCTTTATCATGTCATATTAAATTAGTTGCCCCCCATACACACACACACACACACACACACACACACACACACACACACACACACACACACACACACACACACACACA